TGAGAAAACCAACTATTGTGTATGTCGCTCTTAAACGTCAGTGTACCTCTTTCTTGAAATAAAATGGAACCACAGGAAGCCTGTCCTATTGTTCATTCACTGGTCTTTTAAATGCATTTTTCTGGACCTGTCTGAAAAAAGGTTTTGTGAGATTCACTCATTTGTAAACTAGTTTGGTTTTAATGGGAAACTTAAGTGAATCTTAGCTGGAACTATCGATTTTATGATATTTTTCGACTGAATCTGCCACAAACAGGATGCTTCATGTTTCAGTTGGATCGATATTCGAAATATCGCAGTAAATTTTCTTGAAGGAACATCACTCATAGGGTTATTGAAAACATGTCGATGTCCTTCTTCGAGCTCATCTGGTTGGCATCGTCTCCAAGCTTCCACCAGCCTTATTTTCTACTACTTGGACCCAAACTTTAGGCAGTCTGCAAACTACACTCATTTGGAATCCAATTAGGTCTTATTCGGACACCAAATGAAGGCAAACACCCGAAACGAGAGATTCAGTTGGTTTCGTTAAGATCAAGTTAGTTTCCAACTGAGTTACTTTCGTTCGTCTTTTTTCTAGTTTCAAGTAGAGCATTAAGTTGATGGAAAATCGAGGCCCACCTGATGAGCCCCAAGAAGGGTGAAACGGTTTGTGGATTGTCGAAGAGTTTTCAGCAACCCTGAGAATAATACAATACAATAAAATTTAGTATCTTGAACATCGTAAAACATCAGGCGGCCTCTGTACAGCACATTCAGTGAAAGCTTATCATAAATGAGAGATTCAAGTGAGATTCAGCCGTCTCTCAGTATAGCCAAACAAAGTCAAAACTAAATGCATTTCGTCCCGTTGGGGTTTAAACCCAGAATAAGGTTGACGGGACGGATTACGCCTACCTGACGAACCCGAAAAAGTGTCGAAATCGTTCGTGGGTTGTCGAAGAACTTTCGATTATGATTAGTGCTTTGTCCAAACAGTATTTTACGGATGACCACAAATGCGAGTCATCTCCGAGTTGACTGTGTAATTCATCATCTAATACAAGACTGTTTACATTTGAGGGCTTCACGAGGTCATCCAAACTAGGTCAAATAAACTTTTTGTGTCATGCGCCTCATCTAGAACGATGCCTGTTTGGTTTGTTTAAGGTATGCATTCGGAAAAGACATTTCGTGATGTATACGAGCTGCAGTGTGACTTCATAACCAACCATTTCAGTTGATTTGCTCCGTTATAAACAGTGTCCCGTCGTTCACTTAATCTGGCTACCACAGTCCTATTCATTGGCCTTGAGTGATGACACAGTTACGCTGTGAAGGACAGTCCAACACAGTTAGTACAGGTGACCAATGTGCCGAACGGAAAATGAACTTCAGCTTCTTGTTAGAACACTAAGGGTGTTTTGAGGGCAATATGTGTCATGCGGCAACACCGTAGCCTTGACCAAATATCTGCAATTGCTGAAGGATCCCAGAGTTGAAATGGAAAAGGGAACACTGGACAAACACTTTGCTTTCAATGATCCCTGCCTTGGGAGGTAGACGTTACAAGGAGGGCTAAACATAACTAAAGTGAGTCATTTATATTAAGCTAGACGTGAGGTCAGAAAAGTCTGCAAGTTAGAACGACGTGGTGACATGGTCCAGCCGCTTTGAATAGCTTTTATTGTACTTAGTACACGGCCAGCAACGCTTTGCCCGATCAATGATGTGTCCCATATGACCTGAGTGGGCTAAAATAGGTTTTGCCTCTAGGTTTTACCTCTACATCCCATGGCGAGTCACTTCGAGCAGTTCCCTCTAGCCAGTTTTGACAAGTATCATATTACCTACGTAACGGGTCCAAAAGCAGCCAGTGAGGATGTCAGCACCTGCAGTTTATTCTTATTTTGCAGACATGGAGAAAGTGAAGGTGAGGAACTACATAGGATCTTAGCGGCGTTGTACGTGGATCTCACAGCTGCGGACAAGCTTCTGATTAATGTCGGCCATCGTTGACTAACGTGACCAAACTAGTCAGCTTTGGCCCTGGTTTCTCACTGACAGGTCAGTGTTTGGTCATCATTTTGTTGCCTCCACCCCGTAGTTGGCTGACTGATAGAGGCTGTGTTTTGCAGACAGGCCTGTTGAATGTAGCCTGAGTGTGGTAGCTGATGGCATGCGACTAACTTATCTGTTATGCGCGACGTGATTCTATCGTAGACTATTAAACATGCCCCAAAATGCCGATTCGACTTCCCTACAAAGCCCTGGTTATCCTTCGGAGACTTGGATAGTTTAAACTAAGGCTTTCCTTTGATATCTGTTCACTGTAGCCAGGTTTTTGTTCCATAGAACGGGCTTCGGTGCAATAAGTCGCCTGCAGACAGCCTGGCGTCGGTACTACAGATTTCTGAGGATGACAGAGACATTCCTCAGGTCGAAGTCTAGGGCAAATCTTTCTATCTTCTGAAAGTGTTAGTTTGGAGACAACATCGTTATGTTTTTTATGCAAGTTTGAAACAAGCCCTCATTTTTCATTCGTCTGTGTGCCGACAACTTTCAGGGCATGTTTCCTAAAGAGCCAGTCGCTTCACTGAGACTGGCCGTAAAAGTTGCTGTTATTCACGTTTTATTGTGTCCGGCTTTATTTCTCTCCACAGTCATACGGAATGTAACAAATCCTCTGAGATCCGCTGACTGCTTGGCAAGCTGCCTGAGCCGAGGTCATTGGCTGGAACTGCCTCCGCAACTACGTCGCAATCTAATAATCATTCCATTCAGATCGCGCCAGACACACTTGAAGCAGCTGTTACCGAGACTCGAACATGTTTTGGCGCACCAGAACGTGTGCTATCTGATCGTTATCGCTGAGCAGGTAAATGGTGTTACGGCAGCTGCCCGACCAATTTTCAACTTTAATCAAAGGTATATGAAAACTGAATCAGTAGTGTGATGCTTTTGTACGGTGAGCTTTTGCACATTGGTAACACAATTCAGCATAGATTTCTCTTCAGGTACTTTGCTTTTTGTAGAGCTTCGTATGTGAGGTTCCATCGTAAGATATTTCAAAGTCATTCTGAGCTTTCAATATTGCCGTAGAATGTTGCTGGTGTTTTTCATGCTTTTTTTATTATTGCCTCTCAAACTACTTCCTTTTCAGAATTAATAATCATTCTTCCCTAAGCTCCAGACACAGGCATACAAAGAGGTGACTAGTAGCGTGAGAAGATTCACGTTTGTCATCCCACATCCGTTTTTTGACCTTGCCCCCTGCGACCTTCAGTGTGAGAACTCTGAGGCAAGGCGGCTAACAGACTGTTCTGAGGAGCACTCTTGATAGGTTGGCGTTCAAGAATTGCAACTTTTTCGAAACTCGAACACAAGATCCGTGTAAGATAATCGATCTTGCTGCTCGTGGGCGCAGCTCCCGAGGTGAAGCTTTTTACTCTACTAAATCCCAGTAGATGATCGCTTTTCTTTTGCAAAAATCCACCTGGGCCTGCACTATTATCCGATCCCTATTTGTGGTTTCTGCTTCTGAACCAACTAACTGCAGTTCTCATCCTGTGGAAAATGCTTTCTAGCGCGAACTAACCATCCTTCTATCATCCTGGGAAATTCACATATTGTCCTAGTCACTGATGATCTCACTGAATAAGTACGTCTCGGATGGACATCTTGATGGCCGGTTCGGCTTGAATTTGGGATGTAATGACAATGCCGATTGTGTTTTGCAGCTCTTCACTAATCACCAGTTGTCCCTGACTAGTACAGGATTCAGACACAGTAGACGCCATTACGCTACCTGTCATTCCCATTTATCACATAGCTATTAGCATCGATTGAAAGGCTCTGTTCCTGATTGTCGACCTTTCTGGATCACTCACGCCGATTCAGATCATGCTCTTGTCCGGTGTAAGAGCTCTGGAATTTTCTTAGGGAAGTCAAAGAAACAAACTTCATTTTTGTTATTGGAAATACTCACCGACTTCCAAGTTCAAGAATTTCATCAAAGTAGCGTAACTTTAGATGTCATGCTCTCATGAAACTACAGCCCTATTTGGGACGAGATAAGTACCACTGATCACACGACAATGAAATCGACATGTGATTTTTCTGAGAGTTCACTAGATAGGCACCAGACTAAGGAAAGTTAACTGTCACATCTCGATCTGTGGTGAAGTATTACTAAGACGGCTGAGCATGCTTCATCCAGAAGAGCTGTAAGACGTGTAGAGAGATAAACCTGGTGGAATCAAAATGCTTCTAAAATGGAGAATCTAGAGCAGCTGAGAATGTTCTGAAACATTTTGACCTGATACACAAAAGGGAACCTCAGAATGGCCGCTTGCGGGGTCACTGTGGATACTACTGGAGATCCAATATATAACAAGAACCAGTGTCTCGGTCGTTGGGCTGATTATTTTGGACAAACGTTTAATAAATCATCTGCCTCTTTACCCACATTTTCTTTCTGCCTGCTCAAATAAAGCGACAGTACGTGGGTTCGCACCCTCATTTTTCGAAATACCAATATGCCTTTCTGTCTTAAAGCGCCATCAAGCTGCACGGCTGGATGAGCTCCCACCAGCATTGTTCAAAAAAGGTGGTGAATCATTGAGTTTTGTATCACCATGTTGTCTAAACTCCTTTGGAAACGAGCATGCATTCCAACAACCTGAAGCCGACCAATCACTACACATTTTTTCAAAAAAAAAAACAACCGGAAACGATTGCCCCAAGCACAAGGGACTTGCTCTAGTTGGAACGCGTTTACTAGCTTCAATACTAGTGTGACGTCTAACCTCATCACATGAAACGGAAGTCCAAGGGCACCAGGCAGGATTTCGACCGGATAGGGTCACAATGACCACATTTTCACACCACTTTAAGTGCCTGAGCAACATCACTCCTACCACCGACCAGAAATAGTTGATTACCTAGACTTCAGATGGGCCGTCGACTCCCCGAGCAGGTTGCTTCATCTACATATACTTGGCCGACGATGAATAACCTCGATGTTTGTGAATATTCTCGTGCCATTTTTCCCATACTTTTTTGTTCGCGTCAAGGTTTACGACAAGCCATCCGAAAGCTCCCCCACGTATAGTGGGGTACGATATTCGAAATACTACACTACATTTTATTGAAGATTACTGATAGGGTTGCTGAAAACTTTTCAACAGCCCTTGACCGGTTTTGCCTTTCTTCAGTTTCAACAGACAGGTGCATCACCCGAGGTTCCGTCAACTGCATGTTTTACTAATTAAACCCAAACTGTAGGAAACTCACGAACTGCACCGTTTTGCAAGCCAATTAGTTTTAAACGGGAGACTTAAATAAATCCAATTGAATCTCTCGTTTAAGATGTCCTTCTTCAGTTGAATCTGCCATAAAAAAAAACCCAAATCGATATGCAAATGAGTACGTTTGTCGAATTTCGTGTAAGTTGGGTTCAATTGGAGCGGGAGGTTGACCGAGTCTCGGGGCTGCGCCGACCTGGTGAGTCCGAAGGAGAGCGAAGTTGATCGGGGGCTGTCGGAGATGTTTTTATCAACCCTGTGGTTGGTTGCTTTCAGGATGTTAATATCTAGTTATTTCAGCTGTAGGCAGTTCGTCATGGCATTTTCTTCTAAAGACAAATGGTTTTTTGTAACAAGTCATTACCCTGCTTCCTTGTCACTCTTCATCATGACCTTCTCGCCTCACTGTTGTACGACAGTTGAGTATCAGTTTCCATCAGTGATTTTCTACTCTTTGTGACGATTATGTCGATGACGATGATGATGATGATGATAATTATGATGATGCTGATGATAATGATGATGATGACGATGATCAATAAGGTAAATAAACTTAACAATTAGATTTTCGTGGGGTGGATGGAAACCGGAGGACCGAGTGACATCTGTTGCAGACTGCATGAACTGTCCTTCTCTCGGCCAGTTAGTATTTTACTGACACAAGCTAGTTTCCAAATAATGCGAAGCAACGTCTCGATGAGAAAATCACACATTTCGTTGTTCGGTGAAATTTCAGATGAAACATGACTCTCAGGATACGACAAGTTGAGTTCATTCCCGTTGCTGTTGTGGGAAATATTCCACTAAAGTTTTCACCATGTTCAGAGTAATCAGGTAAATAAAGTTCTTGCTAGGTCTTTTCTGCAATGAGTTTCGGGGATCTGAAAGAGTCTGAGTTCTGTGGGTTGATGGTTCAAATTTTCCCATTCTTTTTCACAGGTAGGGAATGATCCGTTCAACAAAGGTGCCTTAATGAATTCTGCTTTCGTGGAAGCACTTAACTGGTTTCCCTTCCACTGCGTCACATTTCATGACGTCGACCTTTTGCCTCTGTCAGATGAAGTACCCTACACGTGTGCCACGTTTCCTCGTCACGTGAGTGTACTGATCGACAAGTTTCACAATCGGTAAGTTCATGGAGATGTACTTAACCGCCCATAATACAGACTGAATCAGATAGGCACAACCGTTTTTATTTTGGACTGGCAGACGGAGGCCAACGTATCCTGGGATGAGGCGATGTGTTCAGTTTTCTTCATCAGAATTAGCGGTTGGTGTGTGGTTCCTTCAGGGGGAAGCTTCTGTTATCGTTTATCTAACTTCCTGTGCCTACTAAGAGCAGGCCTAACTTCTGGTAAATGTGTGGCTGTATGTTGCAAGCACTTCTGTGGAAGTTTGGATGAGGCGACTGGGAAAAACGCACCAGTTGGAAAGAAGGATACCTCATACGGCGGCCTGAGCATATTTGTGTCTAAAAGGAACAGTATCTGCGGCATTCTCAAAGCGTTCGATACGCATCATCGGATTGGACAGACCACCCATCAGTCTTCAAAGTCAATCCTTCAAAAAGTTTTTGCAGCATCGCACGCTTGTGTATAACCACCTAGTGGATCCGATTCAAGTAGGACCGCAGCTTTATCATCGCGCCTAAAACACCCAAATTTGGTTGCGAGTGAAACGTAGGTCATGAATATCAGTAGCGGTAGTAATGCGACACATCGTTGAATTGATATTTCACGTGACTGACCCTGTGAGTGAAGTGTACACCTGGCAAAACTTGCAAGCGTGACCAAGCGTCCGTAAACACCGGTTGGTACAGTGGATTGTCAACGATGAAGATAAAACACGTGGAGTGATAAGAAGCAAACATTCAGTGATATAAGGTTCGCAGGTCACGTGTCTGCAACCGGCAGATGTCCTGTTACAGCCTTCTGTTTAGAAAAAAACAACACATATATACCTTGGGGTCAGGTATGGCACCCAAGCTATGGATCGGTGGTCATATGCACCTTGCTCGTCTGCCTCCGACTGGGTCATGATAATGCAACTTAGATTCGCTTACTGCAGACGGAGACTCTGAAGTAGACCGTGAGTAAAGTAGATCGTGTAAAAGATCAAGGGGTAAGTGATGAGCTTGGCTTAGATGGCGCTGCCGTGTGTACAATCCTCACTTTGGTTAGTTTGATATAAGACCGATGCCACCATGCAGTGCCAAAGTATTAGCGTTCTCAACCGGCCCATACATGGTTTGCATTGAAAGTGCATAGCGATCTCATGGACCGAAAGTCGTGGTGCAGGCTGCAATTTCCATGTGTTGCACGGTTAGAATGTAAACAAATGTCCTTCCTTTGTAAATCCCGATTGGGAGACTTAAACACCACGTGACCGCGTAAATACTTCTGAAAAAATTCCCCATCGTTCCTGGTTGAACACATCCGCAGTGGTAAAACATGTTCGCTGTAGTGACCTGAGCACCACTCTACATGAAGCTGTCTCTGGACTGTCGCATGTGTTAGGTAGGAATGGACCTTCAGGCTTTGGGCTCAGTCTCATCAGTGTAACGGTCTACGTTGGCATTCTAGTAGCTCTGAGCATTTACAACAGAGAGCTTAGTTACGGCTTGAACACAACAGTATCCAAACCCATGAGGTCACATCCATCCCGTTTCCTGTCGATACACGTCGTAGACTCTGCATGCGTGTCAAGTTTCAACTCGTTTCCGCTTCCCACAGGGACTAGACTTCGGCATAAGTTAGTAGCCAAGTCACATGTCTCTGGTTAGGTGTGTTTATGAACGCACAATACATCCAAGTTGAAAGGTGTCAGTGACCTCGACATCTAACCACTGTGAATGGCGGTTCTGCACCTCCTCGCCATACGAGCGTTTTTGGGATGTTTTTTGTCCCGGAAATGGAAAATGGTCGAGAGAAAACCCATGAAATGTCACATATCTATCCAGGTTGTTTTTTTGGCTGCTATCCACTTCATCATTCTCTTGGTTCACCACCATCCGGGATCACAGCAATGACAATTTTTATCTGGCCATCTCTCACCTGCAGTTGGTCCAACTACCAAACACTGCTGAATCTCCCTCTCTGGTGAGCTAACAACAACAGAACCATAGATTGGCGTTCACTTTTTAGAGAATTATTGTAATCTTTTTATCGTCAATCCAGCATATGGAACTAATATGGACAACGACTAGAACAAAAGAGGGGATCTCAAAAGATTGCCCGGCTGAACTTCAACAAACAAATTATGTGCAACCAAATTCGATTGGTTGCGTTCTAGTTCCTGCTCTGAATTAACGGGATTTCTCATCTCAGGGCGTGTCTTATTCCAAAAGATTGCAGCTGTGAATCATGCAGCATGCCACAACTAAACTCCTGTGTCTTATGCAGAGCTATGTATCGGGCATTGTGTAGATGGCACTTTGAAATTCGCTTGTGACCCCCAAAAGGTAAGCTAAGTTTAATAAGTTGGAGAGCGGGTACCTAGAGCATAAACACTTATACGGTCGTATTAGACAGAAGGTTCAATGTTTGACGTGCGAACTTACTGAACGCAAGGTTCGTGGTTCGAACTCAACGCCGGCATCTTGAGTGCTCCTGTCTAGGCTTGAGCAGCCTAGTAGTATATCAGCCTTCGTGCTCCCTTCGGGTAGAATGGTAGCTAAGCGCCCAGAGGGTGTTTTTGATTAGAGAGGACATTGTCACACGACGTTTAGATGAGGGACGCACTGTTTAAATAAATGCTGGTAATCGGTGATGTGAAGGGGAATACGTCGTCAATAAAAGCACCGATTTCGTTATCTACATTTTGAACTTTAAGTTTTTACCCTGAGACAGTGGTAAAACACACATTATAGGCCATAAAGAAATCTCGTGTACCATACGAGCACTACTTACTGGAGCCAAGGGCCTTAACTAATCGTGGCTGGTATGCGAGAAATCAAGTACAGTTGTCATCTGAAATTCGATTGGACCGAATATTTCACCACATGAGCATCTGTTGCATAGCCTACGTCAAAGATCTTCTTCTTGGTGGTCTAACACTTTCGTTTCTAGCAAGGCTTTTCCTTGCTCATCAAATGCGCTGTCAGGTTTCACAGTTCTCCAGAATAAAGCTCAATTATCTGTGAAAGGCACTGTTGCAAATAGAGTTCTGAATTTTTCAGGTCCCATTTTCCAATTATTCTCGCTAGTTTCCCCAACTGTGTGATGGTTCGTCAGCCCATACGAGAAAGCGTCTCTTATCTGAAAGAACTCAGCCGAAGTTCAGGAGAGGGACTGTTCAAAACAGGGTGATAGGAATACGAAGGCGACTAATACACTTTTTCAGCTAGACAACATTTCGTTTCCTCAAGCCAGGTGAGTGGGTCACCAAGCTAGTAGCCTGCTCACTTAGCCTGGCGAAGTCTTTGTGTCAAAAGCGAAAAGCTGACCAGCTAAAACATCTTCTCTAGTGATCACTACTTAATCGGTTCCAAATATTTTCCATCATCAAAACTGGTGGCAAAAAGATTGATAAAAGGTAACAAAGGATATCAAAAGGATTATGCCCCGATTCCAACACTCTTCACACACAGGAGGACTTTGTTAGGCACTGCGTTTCCGACCGCAGTCCATCCGCTTCGCTGGACGGTTATCTTCGATACATAGATACTATAGATACCGTAGATAATACCAGAACTTGATTACTGGACTTTTTTCTTCGTCCCTTATTGTTCACTGTGTCACAGTAGTTTGACACGACTCGGCATCCCATACGAACTTCCAAGTCGGAGCAGCTGCAGTCAACGCACCAGCCAGTGAACTGACGACGTTCGGACACTTTCATCTGTCAATCTGATTGGAGCGAGGTGACAAATCCACACCTCTAACATCCTTCTGATTGGTTGGAGCTCCCATGCTACAAGCGCGAGTACCCTTCCTTTAGGAGGGGTTGCATAACAGATTAAAAGTTGAGGTGGTAGATCGCTGAACTGCCTGAATCGTTTATGCTTATGACGAGTGGTCTGAGAGGATCGCTTGTAGGTTCTTGCGCAATAACATCCAGACACATTCGGATATTCTAGTCAGTCTGACACGACATTCGATTTTGCCCGCGTTTCCAACACCCAGTCAGACAGCACGCATGGGCCAACACATGCTGTTCGAGCATTTTACGCCCTCAAATGAACAAAAATCTCTACGCTCCACGCTCAGGATCGGCGACTGAATAGTATAGCGTATGAAGACATCACTAATCAATTGAAATTTGGCTTTTTTTTGCAAATTGGCTGACAGTGCTGCGAATTGATTGTTTTCGTTCTTAATGTGACCGAATTTTTGTAGCTAGCGAACTTCACGTGCCTTTCAGAAGGACAATCCCATAGATATGTAAATAGAAGCAATAAGTCGGATATCATTTGGAGAGAATCTTTGAAGCTAGGCAGAGGGTCTCAAATCAATGCCGGTTGACATGAGAACGTTATGAAAAGAAGTCATCATCTTAACCATTAGGCATAACAAAATAAACTGGGCTGTCCGTTGATGTAGATTTGGAACTGTGTCGGGAGAATTCTGGTTCGTCACATGAACATTTCGCAGAGTTTTCTTTAGATCCAATCGAAAATAAACATCATATTAGTGAGTTCGGTGGCCAGATGGTTTGATTACAACGATCGGAATGTTTAACGTGATAGAGCCACCTGTTAAATCTTTGGAGCACCAAATTTCAGAAGAGTTTGCTATTCAGATTCCAGAAGACTGGTATAAGGCCTTCGTTTTGGGAGAATTCGATGTTCATCTTCCAGCGATAGTAATCTACAGTGCTCTTCTGAAGAGACCGTAACAGATTTTTACGTAAGCCATAAACCCTCATGTCGTCCTTCAGAAGTGATGTCAACCTCCAGTTAGGGGAAATTAATCAGCTACAGAGTTGCACCGAACATGAATCCCAAAACATTTGGTACAACATTCTGAATGCATTTCATACGTCAGACTGATATTCGATTTTCCCCGACGACTCGTTTTGTAGAGAAACTGTTTTCTAAAGCCCATAATTGTCTTACGTTTCAGCTTACCATATGCTCAATTAATCGGTGGAATTTTGACAATCCCGGTGAAAATGTACCTTCGCGTCAACGGATTCTCTAACCTATACTGGGCATGGGGAGCTGAAGACGATGATATGTACGAAAGGTCGGTGTGAAATGGAAACCATTTTATCGATTCCTGAGTTGTGTTTGGCGACTAGTTCAGTGATAAAACTTTTTTTTCATTTTGACAGGCTAATGATAAACAAAATCCCAGTGACTCGTGCAGATCCCAAAGTATCTATGTTTCGAATGCTTCGACATCGACCGAGTCCAGCCTTCCCAGCAGACTTGAGGTGAGTAGACCTGCTACCTGTTCGCTGCTTTTGTATAGAACCCACAGTTTTTTGTGTTCACACAATGACGTCTGTTGGTAGTATAAAACTCTAGTGTTTTTTTTCAGTCAGGGTTTCTTCCTGTAAGTGAAATCAATCCGTGCGAAGCGCTGCACATCTGTTTAGTCTTTATTTAGATCGTCAGTATTTCACGGATCAGCAGGTGGATTTGAAACCGCGACCTCTCGGCTAGTAGATGGGGATTAAACCGCTTGGCCTCGAATGGCTGAACAGCATTGTGGTGAACTCGTACTTGGGCACACGACTAGTGAGCCTTCCATCTGACAAGTCGGCACTCATGGAGTCAGTCGGCGAGTGATTACGCGATGTGAATTCTATGACTGATAGATGAGAGATGCCATATCCTGTCCACATGCCAACTGTTTACACAACTGATCAGCCACTCGGGAGTTAATGGTTTAATCTTCAACTACCAGCTGGAAAGTCGCAGTTCCGAATCTCCATGACGATTCGTGAGATGCAAGCAGCTGATGATTCCCAATAAGGACGAAACAGCTACGCAGTTTTCTGCATAGACTGATTTCATTTACAGCCCGAAATCTCCCTATAAACTTCCAGATCTCATATTACCATCACCAGATACTTTTCCCAAATTCCGCTAATTACGCAACGTCAAATAGAAGTTAGTGCAATGAATTTGGACCCTCTCTATAATATAACGAACATCCCCTCATAAAGGCCATCTTTACCGTCTACGGAGAGCGATATCACAGTGAAACCTCTTTCGGAACCCAATATTGCACAAAATAATAAATGGAGTGGCATTGGCGACTATCGTTTCGGCCCGAACCCGTGCGTGACATCAGTGTTAATATTCCTAATCGGCTGTGGACGTACTGTCCAGTAAATGGACAAATCCAGATTCAAGTTTGTTCAAAGCTGCTCCAAGCACTCACAAACGCATCAAATTATTATTATTATTATTACTATCATCATTATTAATAGGGACACTGGTTTGTGCTCAATATCTTTTGGTAAGGTTACCAAATAAGAATGATTGCAACCGCTATGTTAACATCGCCTGTTTTCAAAAACCAATGCAATTTCAGATCGCAGATCCTTTCCTTGGGTAAATCTCGTTACCGACTTGATGGCCTCAACAGTCTGAACTTTACGGTGGTCTCGCAGCAAGCCTACGCTTATGAAAACCCAACTACTGGAAACTGTTCTACGGAATGCAGCAAGGTGGATAGATTAAAGCCCAGAATGAATCGGATGGTGCACATGCGAATCGACGTGGGACGACCTCCGATTTGGCTAGTCCCACAACAATGAGTCTACCATAATTATGGTTTTAATATATTTTGTTTTACAAGCGAATATTTTGAAATGTGTGTGAATTATACTGTAAAGAAGAAACGTCGGATAAATTGTATTCTGTGAGAAAGGCTGAGGGATAGGGGGTGCAACACAGTGGGCTGTATAGTAATTTATTAAAACAAAAATTAAAAGCTAATAGTTAATTAGTAGACCTTAATACAGACACAAATCTGTAGAAGCAGGCCAGGGCTTGATATATCGCAATCCGTTTCAAGAGAGAAGTTTGTATGAGGTATCCTTCAAAAGCACTTCATTTGATAGCAATCGCTGAACCCCTGGGATCATTTGTTCGCGGCTCAGTACTGGAGGAGTCTGCCGCGGCAACCCACATACTTGGGACCCAGAAAGCCTCCGTTTCGATTCGATAGGCCAATTCAGACAACTGCTCCAGCGCTACCGGAAGGTCGTCATTAATTAGAACATAATCCCACATGTGACCGTGTGATACTTCCAGCCGCGCGGCTATTTGAAGCATCTCGTGCAGTTGAGTTTCCTGAGTAACGATGAAAATTCAGAAAAAGTTAAAGACGGAAAATACTTGTGAACGACGAGAAAGTAATTTCCGGCTAAGAATGCTCACTGAGCAATCTTGTGAACTAGACAACATGAGTACTACTTGAAAATGGAACGTACATTCAGCTTGCTCTTCGAGAAATGATCTGTCAAACGAAGTTGGTCCAAGGATGACGTGATATTGAGACCAAGAGATCTCAGTTCTTCGTCAGACTTGCGTAATGACTGCCTTAGACGAATAAGATTGAGGGAGCCCAAACGTCGGTTAGCGCGATGCGAACCAGTCAGTCTAGGCGTTGTAGGAACCGACCGGGCTGGTGAGGCACCAGCTGATGCTGTGGAACTTGAAGTGGACGCTTCAGTACTACCAGGACTTCGTTGAATCAGTCGTGTCTCCAAGAGCACATCCAGTGCAGGTGGTTTAATAAAAATGACGAAAGGCTTTAATATGCTGGATCGAACCAACCGAAGGTTCTTTTGATGTGTGATTGAAAGAGAGAAAAACAAAGACTTGTTTTGGGATCTGTGTTCCATAAATTGGTAACTTGGTCGATTTCAGAATAACTTTTTAAGCAGTACAAGTAGAACCCGTAAACGTTAGTTAGCATTGATTTTAGTTTGTCACCAAGGGGTATTTCTTACACGGTAGTCTGCCTCGAAAACAGCAACCTGTCCAGCCTGAATGATCTCCAGCACAGCGTCCAGACATAAACCGATGGCTCCTTCTGTGGTCACTGGCGACTGATCGATCAAGCTG